AAATAAGTTTGGAAGCTTGGCTTCATGACTTCTGTATGCCTTGAAACCAAGAAACAAAAGACACCTCTTTTCTTAAAAAAATAAGCACTGATAAAGAGTTGGAACAGTAGGCTTGGACCATAGCTCTGTAATGTGTGTTGGGGACTCTCTAAGGAGAATCACCTGGTTTCTGTCAGTTTAGCAAGAAAGGAGTGGGACAGGGGAGAGTATGGAATCCCTCTCTAGCACCTGAAACTGATCTTACACAGCTCGTGCTCTTGGATCTGCCCAGGGTCCAAAAAGGATCCTGAACCACCTGAGTCTTTATCCTGGGGTGAGATGGCCCAGGGTCTCAGCCATAGGGAGAGGCCACACTCTGAATGAGGAGTGACAGGGCAGTCTGTGGGATGTGCCATCCCTGTGGGATGACTGGGCCACTGCAATGACGGGGGCTTCTGTGACAGCCAATCAGGCTGTCAGTGTATTTGAACCCACATCCAGCCGGCTCCCTTTCCCCATACCTGGCCAAGTCACCTTGGCTACCAGGGTGACTCCAACAGGCTGCCCACTTAGAAACATGACTGCCAACCTATCTTCACACTCACAGCGACCCCATTTCCCAAGAAGCTGATGCCCTCAGCAATTATCCATGGTCACGCAGCAACTCTATGCTCCACAGAGTGAAGTGCAGGCCTCTCACCTAGGCAGCAGGCCAAGAGCTGACCCAGACCAGTCATGTCCCCCTGTGCCGCTGGTGGGAGGTGAAGCATAGGCTGGTCCATGGAGAGTTTTGTCCCTAGATTGCAGGGCTGGAAGCAATGCGGTCAACGCAGGAGCCCTTGGTTTGCAAGGGGCTGCAGTAGATGCTCAGCTCTAGCCCCTGTCTCCCAGCTTGGGGTACACCTAATTCATCCACAGCTGGAAGTGGCCTCACCTGGGATTTAAAGGCTGATACAAAAAATAAATAAAAAAACCCATGCTGTCGAGTCTATTCCGACTCATAGCGACCCTATGGGACAGAACAGAACTGCCCCATAGGGTTTCCAAGGCTGTAGTCTTTCCAGAAGCAGATTGCCACATCTTTCTCCTGAGGAGCAGCTGGTGGGTTTGAACTGCCCACCTTTCAGTTAACAGCCAAGTGCTTAACCACTGCACCACCAGGGCTCCTTTAAAGGTTGATAACACTGTAGAAAATCTAATGAAGCACTCTGTCAGTTTTTAGCTCTAAAAACCCATTTTATTCAGGGATTGCCACCCACTACTTGAAATCACCCCAAGCATTAACCATTTATGAAGCTGTTTCTACGCCTTCTCGTTGGGCAGTTCAAGTCTAATAGCTGCCAAATAGTTATAGGAATCGTAGGCTCAGCTAAGTCCTAATGGGCTAGTATTACAGTTATTGCCATCCATATACACTAGCTTTGGAGTTCTGA